GCATTAATTTGTAGAAGTTACATGTTAACAGGACTTAACGGAGGTGTGCTTGTTCAAGGTCAACCATTCAACCCCAGTTTCCAATAGGAAGTTAGAAAAGAGCTGTGTTCAAATTCAGAGAGGGTCGTTATATTAAGAGTTGACCATTTTTACGGTCGTTATAGCAAGAGTAAAATAACGTTATCTTTTATGGATGTGAATTGGGACTCCTTCACAGGGTAGTTATAACACGAGTCGACTGTATATATATATAATTATATATATATATACATATATATATATATATGTATAAAACCCAATATAAAATTATAGTCAGTAAAAACTAAAATTTCATCTGACTTTTGACTTTAATAAGAAACTGAAATAAATATTTAATGGTCTTCCATGTTTTTATAATAATATTAATAGAAAGTGAAATTAAAATTGCGTATAATTATAAAGAGTATCAGTTACTTACTCCATTTTTTTTGTCAAATAATTTACCCTAGGAAAATGATTTCATTTTTAGATAAATAATTTTAAAATGTTCTTGTATAGAAAGTTTTAGCTTATTTTTTAAAGCCAGAAAATAAAACTGTTTAAATTTGTTAATGTATCACTTAGAAAAAAAAAAGTTTCCTTTGAATTTTTTTAAACATATGAATCAATAATAACCTGTTTATTAATATATAAAGCATGCAACTATATTTGAAAAATTGATCTTTTCAGACTATATTATTAAATTTCTATTTGATTTAATTTCATTAAAATATTACTTTTTGAAAAAACCCACTTAAAGTTTTCAATAGTACCTACTATAAAATTAGATTCGAATTCCTTTTACTTTACAAATATTAGAAACTTAATTATATAAATCCTGCAACTCTATTTGACAAACTCATGCTGTACAATAAATTACATAAAATTAAATGTGCAACAATAAGTTCCAATAAAAATGTTTTTTTAAAAAAACCCACTTATCGTTTCAAGTGGGTTTTTTCAAGGTGGGCCCACCCATTAAAACCCGGGCGGGTTTTTTCAAAGTGGGCCCACTTGGCGAACCCTGCTTCAGCAAGAATTTATTTTTAATGAAGTAAAATAAAATAAAAGAATTTCCAAAACTCCAGAAATTTAAAACATAGTTCTGTGTTCTTTCTTTCATTTTTTTAAAGAACACCATATTTTATTTTGAAACCATTGTTGAACAGCCGACCCAGTTTTTAGTTTTACGACTACTAATGTTCAACAACGTGAATAAATTCATCATTGCGGTGCATTTCATTTTTATGTTTTTTTTTTAATATGGTGGAAATGAAATCGATTCAATATTTTTAATAACGAAATTCGAATTGCCATTCAAGGACACGAGGACTCTTAGACACACTCTGCTTATGCCGATAAAATAGTTAATCCATTAGGTGGTTCAATTGATTTTGCTACATTTGGTAGGTACTTCTGGTGCTTTATTTACGTCTCACTAGAACTGCACAATGGCCTATTGGCGACTTTCTGTGAAACATTCCTGAAGATGATCGGAAGACATGTCCTTGCAGTTTTGATCCTCTGCAGTGGGAGTGACTTTCCTGCTTTGGTAGCCTGACGGCCTGCGTGCAAAGTTGAGCACTTAACAATAGAATGTTTTATCAAGGACGGATACCACGCACCATTGGTCCCTACGCAGACAGATCAAAGTGATCACACACCCACTTACTGACAAATTTTCAACTTGTAAAAACAAAAATTTCCCTGTATTTTCTTTATATAATTTTATTACTCGTGAAATTCAAATCTCGCATTCGATTATCTGCTTTGAATGTGTCGATTTCATTGTTTTTTCGACTTTTCTACAGTTTTTGATCGTACTAATGATTTTTTACGTGTGTTTTAAAATACCGGTATTTGTCAGTATCGACG